ATATATATGTATATATACATACATACATATATATATACATATATATACATACATATATATATACATACATATATATACATACATATATATATACATACATACATATATATATACATATATATACATACATATATATATATATATACATATATATACATACATATATATATATATATACATATATATACATACATATATATATATATACATATATATACATACATATATATACATATATATACACACATATACACACACACACACATGCATACATACATACACACACACACACACACACACACACACAGGAGCATTTCTCTGGTAGCAAGTGTTTGATTTTTGTTGATATTTCAGCTCTTTCATTCGGTAAAGGGGTCGAATATCTGCAATATTCAGCATTTTTATGATTATCAGAATCGTTATTAATTAATTCATTAAAAGGTTTTCTTTGGCAGCAGACTGGAGCTGCTCTGGTGAGGCAGCACATGTGGCGGAAGTTGGATTAAACATCACAATCATCTACGCTGAGTATCTTAAGAGAAAAGTGATAGTTACTAAATGTAACTCCAGTTCTATGAGTGTGAGAACTGTAGGGAGAGGAAGACGGAGCGACGCCTCGTTCACGCTCACGAAGGTGTTAATGATCAACAAGAGTCAAAGTTCTGAAACGCTGCGTTCACACTAAACGAGAAACAAATTTTACTTACGCGGGGATAATTTGTGTTTATTCGCTTCATTCGTGCCGGAGAGGAGGGGCTTATCTCCATGGAAATTGTTACCAACTAAGCCATTTATTTCCACCATCAACCACGAAAGAAATAACCTCTATTTCTGCTCAGTACTTGTTGTGGAAGTCCCAGAAATCCTGGGAAACTAAAGGCCTTCTTGTCTGAGTTCATAACCTCATGGAGCTGTATTCACTGTGTCCAACAAGACACATGATGCTGGTTAACTAGCATCAGCACAAAATAAACATTTCTGCTGTGATTTAACTGCAACAAATGGACACAAAGAGACGCCGATAAAACAACATAATGATCCCGGTTTGTAAAAAGTCTGAATTCATGTTTTGTTTGTTTTCTCCGCAAGACGACAAGCAAATAACTTTTAAAAGAATCGATCGGGGCTACGCTATATGCTAACATTGTAGCAGCTAACAATTTGCGCCGCGTTTGGTGTGAATGATTCAAAAGTCAAGTATCAAACATGATGGTGGAGGTACCTTTTCCAGACTGTTGATGACGGCGAGCTGGGCCGGCTTCTTCAGAGCTCTGAACTTTAACACAGTTTCTGGGAGAAAAACAAAAAGCAGAAATGAACATCACCGACATTGGTTCAATGTGAGACAGCTTCCTGGACCTCGACCACGTAGACCCCTCTACCTTGTAGCAGCCTCTTGAGCTTGGAGCAGTCCACGTTGATGTACTGCATCAGCTCAATGTCGTGGACGTCCACGTTGTCCTCGGAGCAAACCGTCAGCTCCTGCAGCCTGAAGGGAGACATGGAGAAGCACTCGTCAACCTTCTGCTGCTTTCAATGCACTCAAGAGATCAGGAAACCGCACGTAGTCTTCTTCTGAGGAGCACGCGGCGAATTCTTCTCCAGCGTCACACTGATCAACATCTACACGTACGTCTAGATTCAAAATTATTCTTTTTGCCACACAAATACATGAAAACAAAAATCTCCAGTAGAGCTCCATGCAAGTCAAAGCAGCCCCATTAACAGACCTAAACGTAACCCGCTTAAACCTGAAATGAATTTAGTTCAACCACCAGTTCTCACCATTAAAGCTCACGTTCATGAATAAATCTCTTTGTTTGGTATAAAATGCTTCATTGGAACATAACTGCATTGATACATTACGACACATCTACTCCTATCAGAGGTCACACACCACAGACCTCAGAGACGTGTTTACGGAGCTACCTGGTGGAGATGCGGCTGAAGACGGCGTTGAAGTTGTTGCAGCTCAGAGAGAAGAGGACGGCGGAGGCCGAGGCCCGGAGCTCGGCGGCATGCTGGTGGCCCTCACGGTACGTGTGGATGAAATGACAGATCTCCGGCAGCAGCTGTTTCACCAGCATGGTCTCATCCAGACGCAGGCAGTCCTTGGATTGCTGAGGACAGAGAGGACAGAAGGTCTCCATCGTTAACCATCAGAGTGTCCATAAAGTTTTACTGACGATGGTTCTCCTCCAATATTCAGAAAAATATGCGTTTCTAGACTCTGATCTGTGATCATGTTACAAATTGCAAGCTTCATGTCTTCTTCACTCAAGCTGAAGAACTCATACATCGACACGTGTGACAATGTGACGGCAGACAACCTGAATTATAAAAGTGATCCGTCTCTATTAAATATACAATAAATACATAAAACATGGTTTCATTTGAAGCCCACAGAGAAGACAGAAAAGCTTGTTGTGTTGCGATTGTTATGCTACACAGGTTAGCACAGGTTGGCTCTCCATCCCAGTCATGCCCATGGTGGTACCTTCACTTTCTAGAGAAACCTTTTGACACTTAATCCCAAACTCTGGAGTTGAATTACTCTTTAAAGAAGCGCTTCTGCGGTTCCTTTTCCTCAGATCATCAACTAAGACGAGTGCAGTGAAGGTGAGATCGAGAGCAGAAGCTTTAAAAGTACACATTTCCTACGCTGAAGGGGAGATAAACCTAAAGGTAGTAAAAGATAAGTTCAAAATGCTTGATTACAAGAGACCAATGCAGCCTCTGTGAAGCACTCAAAGCTGTTTAGATCTAAACAAGACAGGCTGAAGTACGAGAGACTCCAACATTTCACCGTCACCTCTCAAGTCTGAAGGCAAACCCTTCTTTCCTTTCACGTCTATGAAGATACATCTGTTCATGAGTCACGACCAAAGGTGGGTTAGAGAACGACCGATGCTACTTCTGTGCAGCATTTTAGACCTCAACATACTCACACCGTATGATGGTCCAACTCCCCAAACCCTGTCCCACATCTCCAATCCCTCGATGACGGCAGCTCATCATGAATGACTTTGTAAGACACTTGGCTCGTGAGCGAGCGGCTACAGGCGAACTTCAATTTAATGATGAACCTCACAAAGGGACTTGGCTTCCCTCTGAGGCTACATGCACACCTTTACCTTTTAAAACGCATATCTTTTGCTACGTTTACACCGTTTACTGTCAGGACGAGCAGACACGGAGACCTTTGAACGCGATGGCGTAGATCATCTGAAGATATATACACACACTGTGTACATTGTCTGATCGATGCCAGACAACAATAAAAAAATGAATGAAGAAAAGACAACGATGACGTAGACACCAACAGTCGCTACTTGATTGGGTCTCAACAGTCGTGACGAGTCCTTCTCTGATTCGTCACAGCTGTTATTGGAGCGATTAGTGAGCGCCGTGTCCAGCGGCGTTATCAGACGTCTGAAGTCACGCTTTGGGGCTTTGAGGAGGACGACGGACACAAAACGGAGGACTTTCCTTTTCTTATTAAAGCTTCTTCTGTTCTGCACATCTATTGTGACGTTCACACAGAAACTATAAAAGGAACAAAAGCATAAATGCTCTCCAGTACGACAGACTTCAGCCAGAGGGACGCGTGTTGACCACATTTATTGATCCATAATCTAGTAAAACTTATATTTGTAAGTGTTCATTTTAAAATAAATTGAATGTGAGAGAGAGCTGCAGCCTGGTAACTTTTTTTCCACTAACTTTGTCTTTGTTTACAGAGGAAGATCTTAAGTATCAAACACGACTTTGTATTATTAAAGAAGTACAATAATACGATGTTGTATTTTCTGTAACTGAGCAACCAAGCTACTTCCTGTTGACACCGGCATGCCCAGTGCACGTGAACAGTCATGTGACATGAGAAGGTTTTAATGCGTTTTAGTGTGACGGCTAATGACAGGAAGCTGAGAGCAGGTCCCGACCTGTAATCGTTGAGCTGCTGGTTCACAGAAGAAGAACCTCCAGACATGAAGAGAGAGGGATTGATGGAGGCTAAGCACATTAACAGAGGTTTGTGTTCTAGGATACTGGACCACTGACTTCATTGTACTGCACAAAGACAAGAGGAAACAACCCAAGAAGCAGCACAACGATCTGTCGTGAAGGTGTGGAACATTTAGTTGTTGTTGTTCTAAGAGACCGGGTCTAGAGGGGAGGACTCACCCCAGCCAGGCACTTGTCCAGAGTGTCCAGGATGATGAGCTGGGAGAGGTAGAGGTTCTTCTCAGAAGCTTCCCCGAAGATCCGCTGTGAAGACAATCAGTCAGAAGTCACTCAGAGTTTAGACTTCAGGACACGGAGTTAGGAAGCTGTCCTAAACCCAAACGTTGTGCATTTTAAAGTTAAATGCATCGATAGATTAACGATGTTGTTCTCTAGTAAACAATGTATTCATAAACACATTGGTTGTGTAGATATGAATGGTGATGACACAGCAAAAAGTCACACGTTTAAAAGTAATAAATAGTTTTTTTTAAATACATTGTTTTTAAATTAAATGTTATAATTGCTCCAAAGTCTGCTTCAGTTATAAGTGTGGAGAATAAGAATAACACTGTGATAAAGCAGATCTTCTATTCTGTGCTGAATGTATGTTGATCTTCGTAGTACAGGTCTCAGGTCTGTATGAACTGATATCCACTACCTCCGTCACTGTGAGGTTAATAACAGAGTTCAAGCTAATCCCATCCAGAACGTAGAATAAACGGCCACGAGGAGCCGTCTGAGGCAAATACGGGAAAATAAATCCTTCATCTTCTTTGAATGTGTGTTGACGTGAAAAGTGGTTCATAAACGCTTCGTCTAGACTTGTTCTGTTCAGTAATTATGAAAACAATAAAACGCGAACACAGCGAGGAGCATTAGTGTGAGTCCTCCCCCAGAATATATTGAAGACTTCAATATTTTGTCTTAATCTAACTAAATATTTGTCGGCGTTTAGCTTTTTAAAAACATTTCCCTGCAGAGAGAACAGTTTGCTCTCCAACTCACCGCACAAACAGACGTATCTTCACGAAAGAAAGTCGGTTTAAAACAAAAGGAAATACCAACTCATCTGCACTTCATTCACATCGAGAGCATTTGATCTGTTTTTAGGGTGATGACGTCATAGAAGATAACAACAGCTTCATTTAAAAACCTCAAGAGAAGCTTTGAAATGTAGAAAAACAACGTTTACAGAGCGTTTGAACACCAGATTATATGTCTCAGCCAGAGGAGCGTGAGGAGATATGGACAAAAGGCATATTGAATTAGAATATACAGACTCCGTCTTTCAATCAGGTCTTCTATCATTAAAATGACAGGAAGTAATAGATTATGAACTATGAAGGTAAAGCTTCCCTCCCAGCATGAAGAGGAATGACTACGTTAGCATGCGCCAAATATTGAAGTTTCTCCCTTCATTCCGAAAAAGACAATATTCCTAATAAGCCGTTTACGTGGCTAAAAAAAAGAAATATTCCCGTTGACATGCAATCGCTCAAATTCAGATTAACATAGAATGACCTCATGTCTCTCCACCTCACCCTCAGAGAATCCCACGTCGACGTCCTAACACGTCGTTCATCTCGTCTAAATAAGTCAAAGTGAACATCGGGAGCTAACAGATGTTTTTA